CACATTTGGGATAGAAAAATAAGAATGGGTGCAACCTGGGGTGCTGCTCAAGTTTTCTATTGGCAAAGCCTCTTTTCTTCCAGGGAAGGATGCGGCACTGACACCTAGGCAACTGTCTAGATGCTTTGGTTTGGAGCCCCACAGAAGATACTTGGAAACTACACTTGCAAGAACTCTGGTTACTTTGTGTAGCAGAAGGACATTGAGTTAAAAAAAAAAAAAAAGGAAAGTCAAAAAATATAGTAAGTCATTACTATTTACAAGCCAACTGAGCAGCTACCCAGTGTTTTTCGTGATCTTCAGATGAAGTCTCTCACCGTAGACAGATCTACAGAATCTATGACAAGATTTTTCTGGCATTTCTGAGAGAACCACTCATGTCTCACCTTTCCCAAGAGTAGATTTGCTATGGTGAATGGATCATCATTGCCCACTAATCTCCTATAAAGTTCTGTCTTTAGATTCACCTTCCAGTGGCACCCTTAGCTCTAAAAAATGGTGCATCATCTGGGGGAGAATCACCTAAAGAGCCATGTTTCCTGTATTGGCAATTTAATCCCCTCTAAATTTCTGTTTTCAGTCTCCTCCAAATAATGGCACACCTCTCTATTCATAAATAGCTTGATCTTGACTAGAACTCTATCCACAAACCCACCAATGGTTCTTCCGATGGTCTTTGCAAGACTATGGAATATTTCTCCTGCAGTAGAAAATCCTAGCTATGTTAGACCACAAGGCTAGCTTAGTGAACTTTGCCTCATTCTCCTACGTGACTGGGATTCACAATACAACATAAGAACATAGACACATGAGAAACGGAAAATTCCCAGTAATGACCATGGCTTGTCTAGAAAGATCGAGAGTGTAACATTTGACACTGAACAACACATGTTTCTAGTCTGTTCAGACATAACAATATTAAGAGAAAGGGAAACATATAGAGCTTATTTCTCAAGCATTTTGCCCATGAACATAATTGATAGGCAGTGAAGGGTTAATAATTAGGGAGAATATAGCTAAGAGAATGTTGGAGGTATCTTCATTTCTTTTAATGTTTTTTCTTTAGATAAGTAAAATCTGGTTGTTTTATAATATTTATAGCTATCATTTGGTGCATACTCTATGTTAAGAAGTTCCCATGTTCTTTATTTAATCTACACAATTGCCCTCCCTTATCCCAATTTTATGTGCAAGGAAATCAAGGTTCAGAAGAATAAAGTAACCTGTCCACTTCTTGTAAGTGGAAGAGCCTGGATTCAGCTGAGGTCCAGATTCTAATGCCCATGCACTACACCTCACAAATGAAGACAGTGAAGAGAAAAAGGCAGGGTTGTAGGAAAGAGGCTACGGTTACATGAGTAAACAAAATCTCAAAAGAGGCTGGAAAATTGGACTCAAAACACAAGTATAGGAAAAAAATACATCTTAAAAGGTGGAAATGTACTTCTCAGAGACAGAAGGAAAAAGTACATTAAAAATTATGGCTGAGTGTGGAGGCATGCACCCATAGTCCCAGCCACTTAGGAGGCTGAGGCAGGTAGATCCCTTGAGGCCTGGTACTTGAGGCTGTAATACACTATGACCATGCCTGTGACTAGCACTGCACTCCATCCTGGGCAACATAGCGAGATTCCATCAAGAGAGAAAGAATAGGAAAGAAGAGGGGAAGGGAGGGAAGGAAGGAAGGAAGGAGAGAAAAAGAAAGAAGGAAAGGAAGAAAGATTAAATAGTTTTATAATTTAAAGTGACATTACAACTAAAATAATTGAATCATTGCCTGGAAAATTAAAGTTTGCAGAGGTTTTTAAAGCTACATTAAACAGTATGCTAAAATTTTGCTAAAGAGTGGAATTTAGTGCAACAGGTCTGTCTTGGACTTTAGCCAGCCACTTACTTACTGATCTTATAATTAGTGCCACTCACTTTCCAGACAGCCCCACAGTGCAAGCCAGAAGCTATGAGGACAGCATTCCTAAATCTATATAATACAGTCTCACAAGGTAATAACAATAGTAGCCACAATATGGTAAATGACAAGAGTTTTAGACAGAGAGTCAAGAGTCCTAAATTCTAGCTGTAGATTTACTAACTAATCTGAGAGCCTAAGAAATGCACTTAACTTCTTTGTGACCCATATTTCTAGTCTGTGTAGGAGGAATTCATTTACTCAACAAATATTCAATGAGTGACTCTGATGTTGCACTCTATACTCAATGTCTCCACTCTCCTGGAACTGACATCCTAGGAAGAGGTATCAGAGTCAGAAAATCACAAAGGAAGCAAATCCGTAAACAAAGTTTGAGAAAGTGATATGTAGAAAATAACACAGGAAAATGTGAGCGAATGTGCAGCAAGGAGGTGCATTTTAAGCTTTTACCATAACAAGGCGAGAGGTGATGGCTGGCTCTTGAAAAAGAATTGGATAGATTCAGGATAGCAACAAGATAAGATTGACTGGTGACTAGATGTGGGGTCATAAGAATCAAGGGTGAGTCCTAGGAGTTTTTCTTTTCAACAGCTGTGTAAATGGGGGTGGCATTTCCTGACTGACGAAAATGCTAAAGAATGAACCTGAGAGTCAGTAAACAAGAATTCTGTTCATTGGTTTTAGATATTGCCCTACATTATCTCTGAGGTTGATTCCACTTGAAGAAACATTTCATGACTCTAGATGGTGATCAAATAGGCCATTTTCAAAGGTGAAATATGGTGTGAGATAAATTATATTCATGTCAATGAGTAACTGAAGCAGGATAGAAATCGTGGTCAAGAGAACCCAAGACATGTAGAAACTGTGTGAGTCCAGGTGGTAAAGTTTATAAATGTAGTTGTCTAATTCACTGAATATAAAGATCAGGAATAGTAGTACAAAGAAGATTGTTGGTCTAGAATGAAAGTCACTGGAGACTAGCAGCAGTAGTCTGGAGACCCATACATGATATGCAGAGCATGGTGTATACATCTATCTGGAAGACAGCATGGCAAAGCAAGGACGACAGGGACTACTCTCCACCATTCATTTGAACAAGTGATCTTACCTCTGCCTCTTTATTCTCAAAGAATAAGTGAGTTAGGAGACTAGAGGAATATGCCTGGGTGGGTTTAGTGTGAAACCTGCCATTTTATTTTGTGAGGGCTGGACTTATCACCTCATAAGTGTGAAAATAGTTGTGAAAAACCCCTCCTCATCCTCAGCACTTCTAGTAAGTGAATTCTTTTTTAAAATCCTTTACTCACACAGTATATGATTCTAAATATCTCATAGTCCTTATTCCCCCTCCCTATTCCTTACGTTCTTCAAAAGAACAGTCTAAAATTCTTGCGATCAGGAATGTGGTGTCACAATAAGTTTAAGCAAATACGGGGTTAATTGCTATGGAACACATTTTGATTTCATTTTTCTACAAGTGACTACACGCGAAAATACTCATTTTCCAGCATCTGCTTCATGGGAAGATGCTCCTGAAATGTTGTTAGGCAGGGTGGGGGACATGGCTGTCCCCTAAAAAGGAACTGCATTGCTGGCATCATGGCCCCTGGCTTAGGACAGAGGACCACCTGTTACTGTTCGCGTTTACAACCAGAACAAGACACAACCAAGGATCACTCGAGGTGTTACAAGTGAAAGCAATTCATAAATTGTAGTGTAATCTGCAAACATCAGATGTGATTATTATGTTCTTATTCAATCATGTAGAAATGGATGTTGGTTATAAGTGGGGAGAATTCCTACAGCTTTTTCATTCCTAAAGGCTGGATCACAAATGTACCATCACAACCAAAGCTAGTTTTAAACAACCTAAGCAATTACTATTGCTGAGAAGAATGATGATTTGACATATGTAGCATTAATTTGACCATAATAGTTTCACTTCAGCACTACATATTTGACATTCAATAGTGCCAAAAAAAGTAAAGAGCTGTTTTATCACACCTTTTTACATTTGGTAAGTGATAGGTCCCACCCAATTAAAGTTCCGTTTTATTTTAAATGATAGATTTTACCAAAAACACCTCATCTAAACCCCTATCTCATCTATTTCTGTCAAATTCTAACCTTTTCTTAAAATACAGAAGCAGATAATATCAACTAAAATTGTCCCCTGCCTTAGCTTTGTAATATACTTACCTAATAAATTTTATACCCTTCTTTCCTACCCACAGAAAATACTGGCTTTGCTATTTTTTTTCTCTCCTCCTAATACCATTCATTCTCTGGTTCTATTCTCTCTAAGGTCATGTACATACCAGTCTCCATTATGACAAAACAATATATTATTCGGCCCTTTAATCCTTCCATTCTCAGTCATGTTTTTAAAATGCTTCCTTGTCCTCCTCCCTCTGTCAGTAAAGTGAAATATATAAAAGACACACAGCACAACATATTTCTAAAGTAAAAAGAATATTTAGCATAATTGGCTTTTTTTTAACTAATGCACAGAGCATTCCTCCTTTATGAGTTGCCACTGTCATATGATTTTCTTTTAACGTGAGCTCTTAAAGGCTAAGGACCCATTCTCCATTAAGCCTTCAGCACTGTAATTCTCCCAACTAGGAAGCCACTGTGTTGATATCCCAAGCATTGACTCTAGTATGCTGGGGGAACCTCTTTACACACAGCTAATCATGTGCATTTTTTAAGTCTTACTTTACAAATGCAACCAGATACATTGACATAAGGCCGATGCACACCATCGTGCCTCCATAGCTACATCTCTAATTTGACATCATAAAAGTGTTAATGCTAATTTTATTTTGATATTTCTAATTAAACATTTCTTTTATCCTGGACAAAAAGATTTATCATAAATTATTAGTAAATTACTCATCAGTAATTTACTAATTACTATTATTGCCAGTAATAGTAGTATTAGGAGAATTGGCTAATTACTAATTCTACTACTAGAAATAGTTTTAAGAGACCATACATATTGGGAGGAAATACGCAACTCATAGTCACTCCTAGTTCATGCAAACTGTTGACATGTTTTCCAACTTACAGCTTCCAGGAGTCAAGTCTACATCAAGCTTAATAAAAAGCCCACCAAAGGCAGTGATCAAGACGTTCAGATCAACAGGGCATTCTAAATTCACTGTCTTCCAGGTCAGAGTTAACATAGTAATTTCCAATCAAAAGAAACTGGTCATCAAATCCAAAACCTGTTCAAAAAAAAAAAGGACAAAAATGAGATTTAAACACAATTTAGAAATTCCACAGGTTTATTTAAGAAGTGCTATTTAAGCTGTAAAGGATTTTCTGTTGTTCTTGTTTTAAACAATTTCATAATATTCTTTTGTTCTTGGGTTACTCTATATCCAAATAATCATGTATGTAAATGACTCAATACAACAGTGGATGCCCTGACAATGTAAACATTATTGTTTATCCAGAAGCATTATATGTTCATGCAAAAAAAAAGAAAAGCATTAAAAGCTTGTGGTCAGATCAAAAAACCACAACTGTAATTGTTTATTTATATAGCTCACCATTACTCTGTAGTGTAAGTTTACATTTAAAAAAAATTTTTTAAACAATGCTGAGTTCGTCTTAGAAGAGTGAAAAAGGCATGGCTCGCCTAAATGATTAAAGGCAAACAACTTAGGTCTATGCATGCAGCAAAATGCTTTAATATGGAAATTATTCACTTTGACCAGGCTTATAGTTTTCATTTTTATGCTGCCCTTGAAACTCCATGATAACAGGGCCATTCAGTGGAATTTCTGCATTTTTCTCTTTAGTTCAGGGCAGCTGGTTTCTTTCCTCTCGAAGCAGAGAGCTAAAGTATATTTATCACTCTAACAGTGACTCAAAACAAACAGGAAGTCTTCATCAGCCGGCTCCTGGGCATAGCTGATATTAGGTACTGGCAGAAAGGAAACAGAGACCTCATTCTCTGAGAGTCTGACAGAATGTACATGCAGATGCAGGCGATAACAAAGTTAGGGATGCTCCCAATGACCACCATGTTCTCCCAGGATTAAGTGCTCTTTGCAACGCTTGCCAGCTTTCAGAGTCTGTGAAAATTCCTCAGGAGTTTTCCTTTCCATTGCAGTGTGAAAGAGAAGTTTGAACTGGATACCACGAGCCTTACAATCCTTGTGAACCTATGCGCCAAAGGAAACCTGGGAGGGAGCTATTCTGGGAGATTTGGCTTTGATCTGGTTGCTAGGAAAAAGCCCTGCTTTTGTCTGGAAGTATTCTGAATGGCTCCTTCAGTCAGAATGAGGCCTGCAGGTCACTGTCTGAATTAAGTGAAGAGGATTTTTTTTAACACTAAAAATGAAGTTGTCGCTGTATGCCATAATAAAGCTGGAGAGAGCGGACTGTGCTGCTGAGCAATGGCAACAGCTCTTTGCTACAACCTACACTCCAAGGTATACTGTGAAAATCACTGAAGCGTGCTTGCAGATCAAATATATGCAAATATTCCTCAGTGGCACATATGTTCCTAGAGACCTTTGCCTTCCCCTCCTTTTCAAATGAAACCTGTTTCAGATTCAAAGCCCACTTTGTTTTTATTAATACAATGTTCATTATCAAACCATTTTTTTAACCTTACTAATAAATAGAGAGGTCATACAACTCACACCTAACTTTTTTCAGCCAACCAAACTCCGAATGGATTGCATTGCAAACTACTGATAGTAAAGCACAAGTATTAAGCAATACACTTTGGGGGGTCCCTTTCAATATTTTCTTTTTTATTTGTCAGCTAATCTCTTTGTTTATGGTAATGCATGTACCTTTGTATAAGGACTTTACAGCCATTATCTAATCTTCACAGATCCTGGTGAGGTAGAAAGGGAGCAAATCTTATCACCATTCTACAGATGAGGAAACAGAGATGAAGGGGGGTTGAGTAACAAGCTCACATTTTAAGTGGCGCATTCTGATCAGATGCAAAAAAAAAAAGACAGTATGGCACAGGCTTTGTTTTTCCAGGAGTGAGGCTACATTTTCACCTACCACCCATCTGTTCACCAGTCCCCTTAATGACCAGCATTTCCCAGTGACTGCACAGACTCTCTACACAATCTGTTGGGAAAATAGGCAGCAAACTGACCCACATGAGGATCAAGCCCTTGACCGTGGCATCACTGGCATCAGGTGCCCATGAACTGACCCACAGACTGAAAGCCTAATTGCCCCCAAGCAGAATGCTCCCCTTCTAAATCATTCTGGGAAAGAAAAGAAGGGGCTACTTTTCATGAATTTATCTAGTTTTGTTCTTCCTCAAGCTTGAAATGTATTTTTCATTCCAAGCAAATCCTAAACTACAAGATAAAAATACAAAAGTAGCAGAGAGCTAAGAAATAAACTACCTTAATGAAAATTTTATTTTAAGAATAAATAAATAAATAAATGAGAGGAAGGTATACAAGAGCTGGCACCTTAAGGATCACAGCATCATTGCTGGTATGAAGTGATCCTTTACTTGTGTGTGTATCACTAGATGATAAAGATGAGGAAAAGTTAATGATGAAAGAGACTGTTATCCACATAATATAAATATCCTCTTTTAAAGACAGTAGAGGATTTTATTCCTTGGAAAAAGTTACAGTAAAAATATAATCAAGACCACTGGAGTATTAGGTAGATGCTACCTGTGTTGATCAAGTGATGGGGATTATCTCCCCAAAACAGGCTGTGGAAACAACTATTATATGAAAACACCTTCCAGAGATTTCAGGAGCAGGAGGAAGACAGCCTAGCCTATCTTTTGGAATGTAAATTACCTTGCAGTCCACCAGGCAAAAAACTCATGAAGCCCAAACCAGACATCCCTACCTAACAACATTTCAACTAGAAAACAGAAGTGTTTTCAGGATAACATAATTTCTCTCAGTCTACCTGTTAACTTATCAACTTTCTTTTCGAACTCCGTATACAGTTATAGATCTGTGAATTGCATATCCATGAACACCACAGAAATTTCCGAAATCTACCTCAGAAAGCCACAGAGCACATTTAGGTTTTACTATCGACTTGATGGATTCTGAGCTCTCTCAATCAAGGACTACCAGTGTGTTGAGCCCAACTCTGAATGTGGGCAGGGACCGAATTGCTTTCCTGAAATGGCAACAGGCTAACAGTACCAATTAGCCAGACTGCACAATGGTTCTTCAGAAACTGCTAAAGACCAGCACTGAAGACCCCTCCTGAGTAGAACCTAAACCCTGGGGCTTGCTGTACCCATACTTATTCACTGCTGCCTGTGCAAATGTTCCAGCAAGCCGAGAGGACTTGGCATTAATTTCTCAGTGTGTCGCCATGGCTAGAGCTACGCAAGGGCCAAAAATGAATTAGGTAAATATAGGATGCTTCAGGCACAAATGCAGCAGGTGAATTTATTTGCAAATTACTTTTTTTTTATCTTTCTCATTTAAGATTCTCTTTAGAGACATAGAAGATAACTTTATCATTTTTAAAGTAAAAAAAAGCAATGTTTGGGTTCATCTTTGGTTCATAGCCAATCACACAAAAGTATTTATAAAAGAATCATTTTTTAAAAGTTGTTATGCATTTATTACAGGATTATTGACATCAGTGATGAAAATTGAATTGTTAGGGTTGGGTTGACCTACGACAGTTTTTTTTCCTGGAGATTTCTCTGTCATTTAATTGAGTCACCTTATTCCTTCTGCCTCAATACACAACTGTTCCTGTTATTTTTTGAATTAATTTGGATAAAAGCCTTCTGCAAAAGCCATCTTTCTGGATCCACAACCTCCTTTCTGAGCATTTGTTAACACATTACATTATACTAAAATGAATCCACCCACTAGAAATTAGACAATCTATCCTGGTTTTAATATTTTTTGAAAGCTTACAAAGTGCTAATCACTAAAGCAGTGATTCCTAGCTCTAGTTTTGTGACAGCCTGGGGTATCTTCAATTACCTCATAGATCGTTAAAAACAAAACTCCAAAAAATTTTCAGAAGAAAATTATAGTTGTTTTAATTTGAAATATAAATACCTACCGTGGACATAGGAAATGTGTCACGGTACGACTTGGTAGACTGCAGAGTTGTAAGAAAACAAACAATAGTCTAATGAAACTCCTCAAAGCTCAAAATCATTATGCTCTCCAAAAAAAAAAAGAAAGAAAGAAATTCTATTTTATTTTTAGGAACAGAAATTCTAACATATACCTTATGACAGGCACAGAAAGGAACTAGGACAAAACCCATTCCAAGACATTTCCTAGAGAAGAATACAAATAAGGTGTGCCACACATTTTCATGAATAAAATAAACATGATAATATCTAACAACACCATTACACTATTTAGTGTGCCTAAATTACAGTTGTACTGAGAAATGAGAAAATCTCTGGAATAGGACCAGGATTGCTTAATTGTCCATTAGAAAAAGCAAAAAATAAAATCACCTGCAATGATTTCCTTTCGAGATCATTCACCTTATTTTTGAAATACAAAATCAAAAACATATTGAGACGCATGGTGAGGCTGGGTAATAAACCCGAAGCAAACTGTCTCCTTTCCTCAGCTCAGGCTCAGCAGCTCCAGCAAGCCCACAGTGCCAGCTTGAGACTGGCAAGGCAACTAGCATTGCACCAAACAAAATCTTTATTTTTCACTTCCGGCTGATTCCACTGAGAACATCTTTCTCTCCTCACCTTTTCTTTCTTTCTTTCTTTTTTTCTAAATTGAGGTCTTTCTATTTAGGGATGTGCTTCCATTATGTGAGATGTCCCCTAAGCCAATGAAAAACAATGACAATTTTATTTTCACATTAAGATTCCTCTCCCAGGGCCATATTCCGTGAATGAATGGCTTGTAGGACACACCACTAATAATAACATCCACCAACTATGCCAACACAAGTGCAAGAGAAGCGCAGGGAAAACAAGGCTAGCCAAAGGAATTCTCCCATACCTACAGTGGCTGGCTTTTTCCAAGAAAGCTGTTGGGTCTGCCTGCTTATTGACTTGTATATTTGCCAGGAAGGTATTCCTTTTACAAAGTAAAAATAAATAGCTCCTACAACTTCTTCCTTGTCTTGAAATCACCATTTCTACTAGAAAATAAACTTGTAAACTCCATCTGTTAAGATACTAGAGAACTCTACTAGATAAAACATACCAAAATTTGTTGAAGGAGCATTACTGGCTAGGAAAGGAGCTGGAAACAAGGTC